TATTTGGTAAAAATTACCGAATACGTGCATCCGCCCGTCTTACTACTGCCAACAGTGTACGCCCATGATAGCTCTGCGGCGCGCGGACCGCGGAGAGCGGGGATTGCGTGGCGAGTCACGACGTTTGGAACTCGCCAGGCAATCCCCGCTCTCCGCGGTCCGCGCGCCAGAACTATCATGGGCGTACACTGTTGGCAGTAGTAGGCCGGGCGGACGCACGTATTCGGTAATTTTTACCAATTATTATCTCGTTAACTATTACGAAAATTGCAAAACGGTAGAAGACTTTTCGACTCAGTTCAATCCGCTCTACCTGTTCGTGTAATTTTTGACACTCATTCGGGACACCCTGTATACTCAAATCCTAGCCTTTTTAATTTCTAAAAACATATATAATCGTATTAGAAACGTGTTATCAATTTTTTATTACCTACATTTATTATACTTTTATTTAATCTGATTTTCCTTGTTATCGTGTAGAATATATAACAGTAAAGTATGACAACGAAGCTTTCACCATCTACGACAAATGATATTATTAGAGTATACATATATGTATATACATTGTATATAATATATTTACTTGTATGTATAATAAATGTTACTTCAAATATATTCCTACATACGTAATATATTATTTTATTACCGTTGCAAAACATTCCAATGACCCAATGAACAATCCACCGACACCCAAAGTAAAAGTTTTAATACTTCTTTGTAACAAAATGAGTATAATCCTTTGTATATATAAGGGAGCTATGTACCATTGAACGTTGTATCTATGACACATAAAAACAATAATTTGAAAACGAAAGAAATATAAATAAACAATGTTCAAAATGTTTTGATGTGATACTTTAATTATTTTATTTTTTATGGATAACATGCTAATATTTACTTTTAAGATATAAATTTATATATTATGTGTACGGTACATATACTCCAGTGAGAAATGACAATGGAATCGACATCGAATTGACATCAATTCGATGTCGGTGCCATTGTTATTTCCAGGGAATGGAAGTAACTCGTTACTTGTAACGAAGTTACAGTTACAAGTTACTTTTTTGGTAACTTTACTGGTAACTGCGTTACTTTCTTTTTTTGGTAACTGTAACGGTAACGAGTTACATTTTTTGGGTAACGGTAACGAAATTTACAGTTACTTTTGTCGTTACTTTGCATACGATTGAACACGGTTCGATTGGATACATGCTATTTATAGCGCTTATCAATAAGACTTGAAAGCTCTTAGACATTCGGCCGTTATGATTCAGTAATTATTTTACACTTCTATCTTCTATGTAATACATAGGACATACAAATATTTCAGTGTTTGCTGCATATTTTACAGGTTTTATAATTACAAAATTGTGTTTAAAAAAAATTAAAAAATAAATTAAATAATAGTAAAATGAGAAGGGCTACGAACCCAAAAGCGAAACAGTTTAAAAGACGATGACAATAAGTGTGGAAACATCGTTTGTTTTTATCTTGTTTTATCCATGTTATTGTTCTAATATATATTTATACATTTAATTACATTGTCATCGTCGTTCTTATCGGAAATAAACTGTTTCATTTTTGGCTCGTAACCCTTCTCATTTTACTTTTATTTAATTTATTATTTGAGCCATTCTACATTGTTTTTTTTTTTTAAATAAAACTATATATTTGTCGCAGTATTACATAAAAAAAAAATGCAAAAGTACATTTTTAAATTGATTTAAAAAAAGTAACGGAAAAGTAACGAAAAGTTATTTTTTAAGTAACGGTAACTGTAACGAGTTACTTTTAAAAAGCGATAACTGTAACTGTAATTAGTTACATTTTTTACTCGGTAACGAGTAACTGTAACTAGTTACTTTTAAAAAGTAACTTTCCATTCCCTGGTTATTTTTCACTAGGACAGCGTGAGGCATGTAAAATAGGCAACACCTGAATACACGCTTATTTTTCATGATATGAGAAAATGTTTCAGATGAAAGTGAAACAATTTCGAAGGGGATGTGTTTTAACAATGTTGTTTTTTGTCAAGGTGGAGGCACTAAAAAGATATTAAAGTTACCTCCAATTTTAAAAGGGAATTATTTGACTTTTTTCATATAATAGAATTTCTTCAACAAATCATATAAAAGTATAAAATATAATTCCATTAAAAAAGTGGAGATTATTTTAATATCTTTTTGGTGTCTCCACATAGAGAAAAAACAACATGGTTAAAACATATCCCTCTCGAAATTGTTCCATTTTCTCTGAAACATTTTTTATATATTATTGTTCAGTATTCTAAAGGCTGGCACGTGAAACATGGCCGGCCATGTCGAGATTTGGTTGGTAATTCAGCCGGCCGCCGCAGCCGGCATTTTCAAAGCGCGCAAGACGTTCTCGCGAGACTTCGACTCCCTTCCCCGACGGCTTCGGACACCGTCGCGGTTTTTCCGATTACTGTTATCCGTTAGCGTTATGTCGAATCAAGATACGGTGAGGACCATTCCAGTGTGCCTGCGCTTTCTCGACAGTCTCCCGCGTTTTATAGGCTTTCGCCTACTTCTTTGGCTTTGTGTGCCTGTCCTTTAGAGGCTTATTTTCATCCCTTTGTGCTCTTTTCTGCCTGCAATTCAGTTGTAATTCCTGCTATGCAGGAAGGTGCGTCGGCTTCGCCAGATCCCGGCGGCGGCTCGGTTTCGACAAACAAGAGTCTATCCGCGTCCCTGGAAGATTTCAATTCATTTATTGTGCGTGCTTGCGAGGATCAGGTTAAGGTCGCGATTCCTTCGCCAGATATGCCTCCGCCAAAGGCTAGTTTTCTCAAATCATCGGTGTTGTATATTTCACATGCATATATACTAAGATTAGCGTCTCAGGATGACACCTCACGGCGCTCCTAAATATTAAGAAGTCGATTCTTTATTATCGGCTAAATGCTCCGATTCCGCCGTGTCATATGTATCCCCACCGGGGACTCGCGGATAGCGCGCGCGGAAGTAGCAAGATCGCTCTGGGCAGACTCCTGTACGATTCTCCGAACCGGACACTTCGTTCGTGTATTTAAAAGAAGAAATATAGCACTCTGTTTAATATATCGTCTATATATCATTTCAACATTCCTCACCGATCTTAACCCGAAGGACAAAACAACGGCTAACAGCGTCGGTACGAAACGTAGCGGGAAAAAAGGTAAGATGAAGAGGGGGAAGTCCCCGCGAATTTCGCGGGACGCTTCACCCTCCACAGTTTTCACCTCGAATAACCCGTCTAGATTACGCTCTAGATCGCGTTCTCCGGCGAATTTTAGCGGGTCTCGCGCATCGAGTCTCTCGATTTCCGACATCAAAATGATTCAAGATCAGTGTTCGCGGCCTTCGGTGGTCCCCCCCCCCCCCCCCCCGCCTCCGAAGGTAGACGATGCACGCAAAAGTGCTGTTTGTAAAGTGAGAAAGGATTGTGATGGTGCTCGTGATAGCGGTGCTCTTTCACCACCGGGTAAGCGTGCTCGCGTCTCATCCCAGGGCGATTCGGATTCCGTTCATGCAGTTCGCACCAATTTGAATCTATCTTACGACAAGGAGGATCGCCCCCCCCCTTTACAGTTTTCGTACGCCGAGCTGACGGATCAAGCAACAGTGACAATACTAGGTTAGACCCGATCGCTGTCGCGCGGATTATCACGCGTTTTGCGAATAATAAAATAATTGAGGTTAAATCATCGGGCCGGAACAAGGTGGCGGTTCACTTTAACGATTATACGGTAACCAACAATACTCTTACACATCCAAGTCTGAAAGAGGCGGATCTTCATGCTTTTATACCGTCATTCAACATTTTGCGAACTGGAATTATCAGAAATGTCCCTCTTGACATTTCTGAGAGCGAAATTACTAATTTGTTTACCTTCCAATTTAAAATCATTTCTACTAAAAGACTGAATATCAGATTGCGTAAAGACGGTGAAACTATTTCTTCGCCTTCCAGAACAGTCTTAGTCAAATTTCGCGGGTAATACCTGCCTCGTTCAGTCACTTTTATACATGTCAGCTTCCCAGCATCTCCATACTTTCCGCGAGTTTTAATGTGGTTTTCCTTCGCTATGGTTATATTAACGCGGATTGTAAGAGCAAACCGAGATGTGAAAGATGTGGCGGCGCCAGATATCCTGAGTCTGACGATTGCCCTCGGCTTCGACTACCGCCTCTTTGCTGTAATTGCGGATTGCGGGGGGGGAAACACCGTCCGCCTCGACTTGCCCGGCGTTTTTAAGACAAAAACAAATTTATGCATTCGCAACGCTCGAAAATGTATCATATGCGGAGGGGCGCTCAAGACTTGAGGACTCCTCTCCCTCGGCTCCCCCCTCGCCTAATCCCTTCCATCCCTCTGAATTTCCCTCTCTTTCGCAACCTCGTAACCCTTCTCGCTCTATGGTTAGTTATCATAATTGGACGATGGAGGAGTCGGTGACCACGGCTCCCAACATAGTATCCCAAGTTATGGGCAGATCTTACGCTGCAGCTGTAAGTTCCGCTACAACGGCCCCCTCCAATAGCCGCTTGAACTCCTCGCCTCCCAGTGAATATCCTGTGCGGGCGAACATGTCCGCCCCCCGCAATTATCATAATGCTTCTTTCACTAACCAAAGTAAATCTTTTGTTCGAAAAGCTGCTAAGGATTCTTTTCCCCCCCCCCCCTGGTTTCAATTACCCTATTTCCCATTCCATTACTTCCTCTTCCTCTCTTTTTCCCCATCCTTCTTCCCATCCCTCCTCCTTTACCACCCCCTCATTTGAGTATACTTCGGGCACCTCTCCAAGAACTTGTCCACCCCCCTCCTCCTCCTCCCCCCGGTTGTTAACTCTAACGGACCTCCAAACTTTATACAGGAAGTCATTTCATTCCTTCTAAGAATTCTTAACTGCATTCCCAGTACGTTTCTTACTGCAATATTTGGTCCAGATTTCCAGCGTATCATCGATTTCCTTCAATAATTTTCCTAAACAATAATGAGGCCTCCAAGTGCTATTAAAGTTGTTTTTTGGAATTGCCGCGGTGTTCTAAGAAAAAAGGATGATATTGAAAAGTTAGCCGAAACTATAGATATTTTATTTCTCGCTGAAACCTGTGTGAGTTCTTTACGTGATTTTCGGGTGCGGGGCTTTGACTGCTTGCGCATCGACGCTAATCTGGCTGAGATTAGAGGTATGTTAGTCCTGATTTATAATCTTATCTTGTACTCTCAAGTGGACTTATCTAATGCCTTCGATGACTCTTTCGAAGCTCTTGAGCTCTCTATTAATAACTCACGCTTACTTCTGATAGATGTTTATAGACATCCCAATGCTCCCGTCCCTGCTAATTCTTTATCAGCTCTCTCCCCAGTTTTGGATAAGTATGAATTCTTCATCCTTCTTACAATTAGTGACTTCAATGCGCACCACCCGATGTGGGGAGGTACAAGAACTAATGCTGCTGGCCGTGTGCTCGCCAGTTGTATAGATAACAACCACTTAGTGATCCTTAATCCCCCTTCCTCCCCAACTCATATTTCCTTCTCTCGTCCTAGCTCCTCTATCATTGACCTGGCTATTGCCTCTCCTCGTATCTCTTCTCTATGTGATACTCTTATATCTTCTGACCTGTTGGGCAGCGATCATTATCCCATCGAAGTTCAAGTTAATTGCGGGATTCGTATCTCCTCGGTTTTCTCTTACAAAATCGAATTATCTAAGGAACAACGGATGGAAGTGCTGCGATTTCTACATCATAACGCCAATTCCATCTCTCAAAAAATCAAGGATACTAATCCTGATGATCCTGTCTCTCAATATAACGATATATTCATGGAGCTTATCTCTGAGAGCTACGAACGTTTTTCTCCTTCTATAATAAACCTCATCCCACGAATAAAGCATCATGTATGGCTTTTACTAAAAAAGGCCCTCCACCATCCCCGTGGTGAACTCCTGACTGCTCCAGGGCCTTTGAACAACGCAGTAATGCTCTCAAAACGTTTAGACATTGCCCCTCGCGGGATAACTATGTTTATTATCGTTCAGTGGTATCGCATACCTGTAAAATCCTTAGAAGAGCCAAGCGTTCTGGCTGGAAAAGGTTTTGTGCCTCTCTTGATATGAAGACTCCTACTGTACACATCTGGCATATGCTCAAACGTTTTCGCAATCGTTGCCTCATTCCGGCTAATTCACCGACATAGAATATAAACACAGATAGGACTGACATGATACGAGACGCCGTGCACATCGGTACTGGAGGAGGCTGAATCTAAGGGTACGATGATACAATTTATTTGGGTACCCTCACATAGAGGTGTCACAGATAATGAAAAGGCTGACCAGCTAGCTAAACGGACAATTCGCAAAGGTATAAAACCCAATTTCAAAGTCCCCTATTCGGATCTTTGCGGTTACTAATTTTAAAATCACAGAAAACTTTTACCAACATTTAACGACACTCGCTGATATTAAAGGTTCGTACTTTTTTGATAACATTTTTAATAGGGCAGCGAAACCCTGGTATTATCGTTTAAAAATTTCCAGGCAGGCTATCGTCATGGTTAACCGTTTGAGCTCCGATCACTATAACCTTAACCATAGTTTATATCGCAAAAATCTGACTGACGATCCCTTCTGTCCTTGCGGCGCCCCAAGACAAGATATCCTACATCTAATTTATGAATGCCCGGACTCCAGGGACGCGGCGCGCTTTTTGCGTCGCATTGTTAACCGAGCCTCTGCAGCTAACAATAGATTGATTAAATTTTCGCATGTCATTGCTAAACCATCCGCTTGTCTTTGCAGACTCATTCTTAGCTTTAGTAAATTTTGTGGCAGACTGTTTTAGAGCTCCGTACTTTCGCGCCTCCTTGCGTCCTTCGCAGGCGCTCTTCCTTGCCTCTTTTGCCCTCCCCTCCCATCCTAGCGGAGCACTGCTACGTAAGCAGCCGCCGCTTACGTTCTCAACTGTGATTGGTCAATTCGCTTACTGGTTACGTTTACGGCCTTACATTTTTCTATGTGCCATGGGCTTAAACATCGTGCGCTCGACAACGGCGTGAATAAGCGTCTAATAAAGTCTCGAACAGTACGGAAGGCAGTTTTCATTTGGAATAACCTTCCTTGTAAGTGCCTATGCATCGCGGGCAGTGATTTCTGTCGCATCAAGCGGCTTCGCAAAACTGTAGAAAGACACGTGTTTCTCGACCGCGCTTCCCGATATCAGAGCATCCCGGGAAGACACGTGGGGCCGAACGCTACAGCAATTCTCGCAGACGTTATCGGCCAGTGTCACATCGTTAACAATTATATTCATAAATTTATTTAAATATAATATATTCATAATATTATATATAAAAAATCCTCTTACGCTGTAACAAATATATGATTAGTGTGATCCGTAACGTTTTGCCCAATATAATTGGCAATGAACATGTATATAATACTAACTGTTGCGAATATAATGGAAAACAAAGATTCGGTGATATTTCCCACGGCTGCATTCATCTGAAAAATCTAGTATACGAATTTTATATATTTATATAATATTTGCATTTGTAATAACGAACTACATTATTCTACTAAAAATTTTACTAAATTCAATATTCTACTTAATTCTAAGTTGTATAAGTAATGAAACATGTTAAGTTATTTAAAAAATAATTAATATAAAACAGGGCTACGAGCCAACATTAGTTAAAATATAAAGGTCTTAGTAATAAACTGTCATTAATTAAAAATAAATAAATATAAAGTTTAATAAAATTCAAAAACAGACGTTTCGACCTTAATTAGGTCATTTTCAATGTTAACGATGTACAAACAATGATAATATAAAAATTCAAACGAAACATATGTAAAAACCTCAATCAAATACGAAAAACATGTATATAATTTCTGTGATATGGGTATTTTCAATCTCACTCGCTGTTGAAAACATAATTATATCGGCGCGCAAGAGTCCATCAACAAAGCAAGACATCAAATAATATTATAAACATCAAATAATGTAAATTGTGACTCCACATTTATAAATCAAATAGTAATAAAACAATGTCAGTAATAGATAAAAATAATAAAAAAAAATATATATAACAAAAGAATATAATATAAGAGTCAATCAAATAGTAATAAAACAATGTCGGTAATAGATAAAAATAATAAAAAAAGAAATATAACGAACATATAATATAAGAGTCAATTGATCAGTAAAAAAGTCAATTCACAAGGCAATAAATTGAAATGAATATAATGTAAAACTACAACGAAAGTCACTTATATCCATTTTGTTAATTTAGTTACAAATAAATTAAAAAAAATCTATTACCTTGTAATATTGTATCAATATACAATTATAATTAATATAAGTTAGAACAATGCGAAGAGAGACCCATTTTAAGATGTTGACAATAAACAATTTAAAATCAGAATAACCGAACATCT